TTTGTGAGAGTACATTATTGGATCTTCATTGCCTTCTTAAAGATTAAAGTGGCTGGTATAAGGAACTAGTTCTTGGGATCTTGTTCCTGTGATAGGAATAAAGCACAACAAAGAAGCTAAGGACTTTTTCCTGTCTTTTACTGATTTTAGTAGCAATTCTTATAGTTCTGTTAGAGTTGGTGGTTTATATTAAACCCTGTAAAATTCTACATGAAGCCTTGTTTTCAAGTGGGAGGCCAGACTATCACTATAACAGATTTTTAATCCTTAAAATTACTATTTAAACAACACCAAGTACTATATTAGAATATCTGCACAAAATGTAGTTTGGGGGAATAATTTCAGGGATATCAATCCCTTTCTGTGCATTCTGAAGTAAACCTGGGCTGTTTAAAATGATTCACTGCTTCACCTGAGGACAGGCAGAAATTGCACAAGAAATTCTAGGAACCTAAAATCACATGAATCCCTTCAGAAAGGGAACATTTGGAGGTCAGGAAATGATAAAGTGAAGATTGTTCTTGGGATGTTAGCTTCTTTTAACTATGACTAGGTTATAATTTTTATTTAGGCTGACTACATTTTGTGGAAGGAGGAAGAATTCTGACACAAATGCCATAGTCACAGTGGAGCAGAGATTGATGAGAACATTTTAAACAAATATCTATTGTTCTTATGAGGTAGATAATCTCAATTTGCACTTAGTTTACTTCATGGGGAATTAGACTTTTGGTGAAGAGGTAAGTATGGGAGTTGGTGTGAAAAAAGTTCTAACAGAATAAGCTTTTTATGAAGCATATTTAGGAATATCCCAAGTCTCTGCCTGAGAATTGGCATTTATGATGAGAAATAGTAGCATTAGCTTATGTTAGGTGGATAGAAGTACTAATATCTGAATTCTGGTTTCTTTTATTGAAAAATATTATCAAGGTTTTTTTTTTAACAAAAATTATGTTAGTTTCTCATCCTTCTGTTTGAGATGTTGGTATTAGAAATCTATTTTTAGCAGCTGACAAATTATTTCTTTCATAATAAAGTATCAAGAGGGTAATTAAAATGTTGTATGTGTTTGCTTTAGTTATATTCATATTTAATAATATATAAGGTACATATATTTTGATAAATATGTAAACATGCATCTCTGATGAAAGATTCACCATAATTTTTTTTCTTCTTTATGGAGTTACACAGAATGACTTTTAGGAATTATACTGTAGTAATATGACTAATGTACTGGTTATTTTTGTCAGAGTGTTGGTTAGTTTGAATTCTGTAAAGCAGTTAGCGCAGAATAACACTTTCCTATGGTCAGAGGTATATATTACAGAATTGTGAGTGCTATCTCACTGGATTTGGCTTATTTTTTCTGTGTAAGACAATATAATTTTTTAATTTATTTTTATTTTTATGGCTACAGCTGTGATCATAAATAGTGCAATATGCTCTCAGCTCTCAGGCACATGGTGTGACTCTTGGGGTTGCCCTGTGCAGGGCTAAGAGCAATGATCCTTTTGGCCCCTTCCAACTCAGCATATTCTGTGATTCTGTGAATATTTGTATGCATTGAGGCTAAGATTGTCAACAGATACTAAATGAACTATGCGCTGACTAACTTTTTTTCGTTCCTCAGATTGAAATGATTCTTTTGTCATCAACTGTATATTTGTCCACTGTTTTTTTTTAGGGGGGTTATTATGTGCAGGGGAATGCATTATTGTGTTGTGTAACTGATTACTTCACAGACAAGTGATGTTCTCACCTTTTTCTTAACACATGCTACCATATCAGATAATAGTCTGTTCGTACCTTGATCTGAATATATTACTGGCTATACAAGCAACAACAAATTGAAACTGTTTCTTAAACTTTTCTTCTGGATTTCATCCTTTCTTATGTAGTATTTTTCTCATCTTTCTTCATTTCTCTAGAGCTATTCTGTCAATACATATGGTTTGGTTTTTTTGTTTTTTTTTTTACTTACTAAGAGTTTCACATTCTTTTGTATTCTTTGTTGGAGCCTTGTTGGTCCATCTGTCAGGATGAACCTTTAGGAGATTACAATTTCATTTTGCAGAGTCCAAGAAGCTGACATTCTGTCACAGATATAGTTAAAAATTCCTGTTTGCCAAATCGACGTGTTTCTTTCAACAACAGTGAATCCTACCATTGAAAATAATTGTTTCATAGAATTTAAAAAGCCACCAAACTTGAAAAAAAAGCATTAATGTGCAAATGACATGCAAGAATGATTCATGTAATGCATTTCCCATACATTTCCTGAGGAGAGTTGCATAGTTGAAAATATATATGGTGACTCTAAACTTTGTTATAAATTTAATTTAAAAATATCTTTTTCACAAATTTAGTTTGAAAGGCTTTCTTGGTATTACTGAGAGTTTCCAAGTCAGTTAGTTTGTTATGGTAACAGAACAACAATTCTGTCTGCATTGCAGTACATGGAAGTGCATGTAAGAGATCAGCCATGGATTCAGCATTTCTTTTGGCAAGCTCGGTACTCATACATTCTTCTAACGTTTCTTTGGAACAGACTTGAGTTTGACTTTGGTCGACCAATAAATTGAGGTGTGGAAAATGTGAAGTGCATATTTTGATCTTGCTCTTTTTTTTCTCTGACTGTCCATCCAGTTGAACCCTTAAGCAACTATTTTCCATTTCAGAGAGTTTGAGATATATATATATATTTTCATAGTACTACTTGCAAAAATATGGAATGCTAAAATCTATAATCTATCTGATATTTGTTTTCAATATTTTATGTTGATGAAGACCATAATATAGGTATGGGGAGAGGGGGTTCTTTTTTGCTAGTTAGTTTTTGTGGGTTGACAACAGTTGGAAACCACAATTTTCTGGGGACCTCTAATATGCCAGTTGCACCATCCAGAAGCAATCCACCTTTAAGGGTGATAGAGTATTCTGATAAATTACCTCAGTCTGTGGTCCTGAGACTTAACTACCTAGCCTTCATCCAGTGTTATTTTCTGAATTATGCAAATTACGAATAAATAATCTTGGGAGTTTTTATTGTAGTAAATCTCAGTTATATGTTTACATGGAAATAAGTGGATTTTTTTCCACTCTTACATGTCTCCTGTCCAGTGAGATGACAATGATTCAGACTACAAGTTTGTGAATCTCCCTTCCACCAACAGTTTCTTAATTAAAATTCATCTCATATGTTATCCATTTTGTTTTCGTGTTTTTCCAGTCACTGTTGGTTACAACTGTCATCATAGGATCCTAAATAACATGTATAATTTAAAAAGCCAGGTCACATAGGTTGACATTGCATTGTTTTTATTTTTATTTGCTTTTTAACTGTAATTTCATTACTTAAATAGGATCCAGTCTGTGATTTGCAGTGACATCAATTGTTTAGTTGCTGCTTTTCCCTTAGAAGGACGAGTGAAAATGCATTTGCTAACCTTTAAAAATACCTCTGTTACATATCACTGATGTATTCCACTTTATATTTCTAGTTTGCTTTTATAAAAGGATTAGAAGACTTGCATGTAAAATTCTTGCATTTACCAAGGAAGACCAAAGCAGTAAAAGAATAATGTTTTTTAATTAAAGGCTATCAAAAATTTCCTTTCTTTTTTAAATGGCTGTATTGTTAGTTTCATTAGTGATGTAAACAGAATAAATATAATTACATAACAGTAGAAGCAACTAAATGAAATTAATTTTGGTCTTAAAATCTGAACTTCTTTGTTGGGCTTCAGAGTATAAGAAAGATATGAAGTCTATAAATGCTTTGTTAGGATTGTGCTGTGCAGGCATCCTGTGAAGGTTTCTGGCTCTCTAAACAGGCAGAGCAAGATTCTATGAAGTAGGTTTTGTTATCCATTTTAGTGGGCTGTCTTTTCAAACAAAATATTGCAAACCACCTGTTCTATTCCAGTAAGGCTGTTTACGATAAAGTTAAGTTAAAAGAGCCTTATGTAACATAAAAACTTTTAATGTTTTAAGCTGACACTTCAGTTAAAACACGGAGATTATTCTTAAAAAAAAAAACAACCAAACAAAAAAAACCCCCAAAATCCACATATATGAAGGTTATCTGGTTCTCTTTTACTGTTTAATCCCTATTATTGTTATTTTTGGTTCATCTCCAAGGCACATTGAAGCATTGTATCCCCCTGAACCTTATTAGGTTAACATTTCATGTTTGTAGGACAGCTTCTTAGATTTTTTAATAGCTCTACTGCTAGGTTTCAAATATCTTGTTCTCGTTCCTGACACCTCTGCAATCAGATTCCTGTTCTGTGTATTAATTCAATAGTTAACATTCAATAGTGTGACACAGAATCATTTATTTATGTAGTCATAAGGCTAACAGAGTTTAAAGAAAACATAATTGTGAAATCCGCATGTTCTCGTAAAACAGTTCATTTATGTCATGTAGCTTTAAATTCCCATCACGGGAATTACTGTTCCTGAACTTCACCCCTTCATAAGGTTGAAGCAAACATTTGCTGGAACTAAGTATTGTGTACATAAGAGTAGTCTAAGCTTATCTCTAAGGCTTTGTGACCTTTTCGATTTTGCTCTGGCTGTTTCTATAGTAGCTGTCACCTTTGCCTTTTTGGGTTGTGATATTTTTTTTGTTAGAACAGCATCCTTGCTGAGGAGTAATGTAAAATCATAAAAATGGATTCATTTGGGACTAATTATGTAAAATTAGTTGTAGTAAATTGTATTTTGACCTGAGCTCTCTTTATGTCTTTGAAAATATTCCTTTATATTCCCTAAGCATTTTTTCATCTTCTTACATGTGTTTGAGATTGTATTAAAAAAGGATAAGTTTTTGAGCAAATTGTGTGCATAGTAATAGATGTAGCTGTTACATTCTCTGGTAGACAATGTCAAGACCAAAGCTAACAAATTTCCAAATTAAAGGAAGAAAACTGGGTATGAGAAAATCTGATATCAGCCTGCATGTTTAGGAACCTTCTGTGTTCTCTTTCTTTCTCCAGACAAGAACAAGTGGATCACCACAAGGTGACATAGCTGTGCTTTTTTAAATACTTCATCAGCCTGTATTAACAGAATTATGCATCAAATTCAAGAGTTAGAATTAAAGGAGGAAAAATGCTTTCAACAGGTACATTTATGGTTGAAAACGGCCAAGTCCTTTTTCTCTTCATAGGAACATATATAGTTAATTATGGTTACTATGTTGATTTTTATAAAATTTTTGCTTCATGTCTTATGTACTCCCCAAAATAGTGCCCCAGAGTTTAATTTACTGGTCATGAGATGTTTTTAATGTGCTTAACAGTATTGGCAAATGGAACTATCTTATTACAATTAATATAACACAATATCATAATGTAATATCCATGCATCATAAAGATTAATATATTCATGTATGATGATGATTCAGAGTCAAACTGAGTGATATCATCTGCAAAATAGTTTTGGTTACTAATCTTGAGTAGATAGTCAAATGGAGCTGTGTGCCATTTTCTGTCATTTACAGCAAGAAATGTTTTTTCATGAGCAGTACTTAACAACTCCTTGATTGAAAAGTTTCTTTAATATGGAAAGACATGAAAATGTTGTGGTTCTTTCTCTAGCAGAACATGTTTTCGTAGTCTATACAGATTCGCACAAGTTAATAGAAGCAAGAATAAAGGCAAGTTAAAAAAATGGGTAGGTAGGTGAAGAAACAGCCCTATATATATCATTGTAGAAGCTTCCCATTAGCTCCTCTGAGAACATGATTAGTATAATTTAAATAATTCACTTTTACTGGAAAAGTGTTTTCCAAATGTTAATAAATTTTGCATATGTCTACACTGCAGCAAGAAGATCTGATAGCTGCCCGCACAGACAAGTTATATTTAAATAATTTATCTGCAATACTGGCAGTAATGTCATCATAGCAGCACATCAGGAAAGCTGTCTTAGATTAGTATTCCACAAATGCTGTTAAATACTCTGCAGGGAAATTTCTGCAGCTGCAACAGAGATGTTAGAAGAATCCAAGGTACATGAACTACAGTCACATCTTAATTTACAGTATAGACATTAATTTGGTTTGAAAATTTATATTGCCTCATTCACCTTTATTTACTATAATCTGAAAACAGTGAAATTATTTCAATGTCATATTTTTGTCATCAATGTACATAAATTGGATAAGCATTGACATGTCCAGATGTTTATTAATTTTAATGTTAGCTTGTTTCTTTAAGTCTCGTGCATGTTTTCCACATCTTTTATAAGTTCTTGTTACTAAATATACAAAGATTCAAAATAGTCTAAGGCCTTTGGATGGTGACATCAATTTACCCTCATTTCAGCTTGGCAAAACAAAGGGAGACAAGTAATTAAGAAAGGGAGTAGAAAAAAAGTTTGAATGAAATGGCCATTTCTTCATCACATGTTGTAATAAGATGGGGAAAAAACCCCAAGATTTTAAAATCTTTTTCTTTCCTGATTTTCCTATACTTCATACCACTATTAAATGCATAATTTTTGTGTTTTCAGGGTAGTTTGCTAGCTATTTATGGTTAGTTCAAAAAACCTTTTTGCATTTGAGTGACGAAATTCCCTTGAATAATACTCCAGTGTTTATAACTATGTATCTTTAAAGTTAGAGAGTGAGAGAGGATGCTTGTTAAAATCAAAATAGAACATAGATCCTAAATGAAAAATAGCAAGTTGAAGATTTGGGCTTTTTTTTCTAGATACTGCAGGTATCTAGAATATATAGAGTTTATAAATGTTATAAAATGAAAATTAATTTAAAAATGCAAATTTAAAATGTAATTTTAAAACTAAAAATTCATCCAGGTTTTTTCTAAATTTTACTTATTTTTTTCCTAAGCCTAGGATACAATACAATACAATACAATACAATGCAAGTATATTTAAAAGCCAGGTTCTGAGAAAGCACACAAAATAAGTCTGAGTCTGTGATTTTAATTTTTCTTTATGCAGGGTACTTTATGACATAGTTCTAGTCAGATTCTCCTCTTCAAATTCCTCTTTTAATCTTTGTATCTCGTGCACTGAGCTTGTTGTCCTGACTGTTTTGCTCAACAAATCCTGTGTTTCCTTGCATACTTTTACTTCATGTAAGATACACCTATTGATTTATTCTGTGTCTGCCTACTTATCCAATTCCTGTTTATCAAACTCCTGCTTCTGTATCTAATTTGATATCTCTTCAGGTCCCAGTTTTCCTGTCCAATGCTTCCTATTTTCCATTACTGCTCAGATTTTCTTTTTTCCTATTCCCTGTACTTTTGATGTATTTTGTGTTGATCCAGGAAGACTTCAGTAGTATTTCTCTTGGTCTGGTTTTGGCATAGACTTGTTGGCTGTTGTTTCTTCATGGCAAATGAACTATTTTGTGGTGTTCCTTCAAGTGGGGTTCTTTCAAATATAGGTATGTTCAAGTTATGCTTGTATGTGTGATGTAACACTGTGACCGCAGGTTCCATTTCATTTTAGCTGCATATAAAGGACCTGCATGCGCCCTTTAAGCTGCACATGTGGACATAAGAGGGTGGTAGTTATCTTTCCTTCCCTTGTTTTCAGCTCCAATAGGCTAATGATCCCCTTAAGTTTTCATCAGAGCTATGATTTGCTTGTGTTCTTTGATTTCTTGTGCTACTTCTTTCCCCTTCTCACTTGCAGATTAATTTTGTCCTGATCTCTTTTCAACAAAGCCCTACTCTTCTCTGCTTTTGAGTCTCTCAGATTTCAAATGCTTATCTGTATCAAATGCTTATCAAATGCCTTATTGTATTTTTTCATATATCTAAAAAAATCTTCTTTCTTTATTGTTGACCCTAAACTGATGACTTCTCTTAAACTGATAAAACTAAAACTATATCTGATGTGCTGTGCAAGGTATCTGTTTCTGCACAGATAGAGCATTAGATGCTTCTGCTGCTTAGAAGAGCCTGAAAAGTACAGCACATATTGCTCCTGTGTGTTTAGAACTTGGAAAGAATAACAGCTTTTCTACAACAGTTTCTCTTTGGCAAATTCTTGGTATGAGGACAAAAACTGAAGATCTGTGTAAGTACAAGATGTAAAGAAATCTGTTTCTTGTATTTCTGTAAAGAAATATGAAATGCATCTGTATGAGAATTGTGGTATTAATAATTCTTCCGTAAGACTTGCAATTATTCCGTTTAATTAACCAGCATCTAAATGTCTAGGATTTAAGAAAGGAAATTTTGACTTAGTGAAAGTAATGTTTATTTAACAAAGCTAATTTAAATTCAGTCTAAATTTTTTTGTGACGGAGTTTTTACCCACAGGATAACAAAACAGTTCAGTGCTGACTCTGTTGAAGATATCTGGTCATCATTATCCACTAAGCTGGATTTTAAAGAAGCTGATGTAACTTATGAAGGTAAAAATATTTCATAATACTCAGCTGTATGATAAAAGTTACTTATCCTCTTTTAATATGTGCTTTGCATTTGTAATAGTGGTCGCTTGTTCCCTGCTCCATGTCTTATGTAAATGATGTGAGTATCCTTTGAAATCTGTGTGTATCATCTGTCAAGCTGAAAGACACATACATTTTAAATGATATATTAAGTATTATTAAGTCTTCCTATTTGCAAGAAGATAATTTACATTTCTGTATTTAGATCCATACTGTATTTTAACCCATCTGGGATTCGAACCAGCTAAACTAGTTATGTTGGTTGTTGAAAATTCTAGAATTATTTTTTTTCATTTATTTCCTGTAAAACAAATAACTGCATTGCTGTTATGGGATATTTGTAGCATAACCCCAACATAGAATTCTGTTTTATACAGTTTGTGTCTTTAGTCAGAATATACATTTTTTTAATTAAGTTTTAAATATTAAAGAGATTATGTGCATTTTTTTTAAACCAGTGTGCAACCTTTTAAGTACTACTAGCCTGAGGCAATCCCATCTGCAGTAAATTGTGTGATAAAATTTTTCTTGACAGTAGTGAGGCCAAAATTTCACTCCAGATTTTAAATGGTTTTCCTCGTTTTCAATGCTTGCAGTTTTTAATCAAAATAATTTAGGGAAGTATTAACTGTAGAATCAAAACAGAAATGTCTTGGACTCTAGTTGATATAACTCCCATGTTTTATAGATCAGGACAATGGATAATGACCTGAAAGAATCTTTTATCAAAAAAACCCCAACAAAACAAAACAAAACAAAAAACCCCACCCAAAACCAAAAAAACCCTAGGCTTTTTTGATGGCCATATTTCACAGAATGGAACAATGATTTTATTTATCACAAGCAAAACAGTGCTGTTGAAATATTATACTGAATATTCTTAGGCCTCCAAAGACTTTAGTGAAGTAATTGAAATTAAATAAGTATTCTTGAAAAAATTGAGACAATTAGGAACTTGCACTGTTATTTGGATGATTACTTACCCAAGCAAAGAGACAAAGATGAAAATTTTGTGCCATGTATATTAATACATTTTTGTTGCATTTTGCACTGGAAATAAGCTGGAGGAAAATGCTACTGAAAGGTTACATAACTGAAAGTTATGTTTGTAACCAGTTGTGCTTGCCTTGATAGAGGTGAAGAGGCTAGCTTTATTCTGAGAAAGAAGCTGGAATTAAGAGTGTGTGTTTAAGCCTTCATAAGGAACAATTATAATGTATTTTTAAGGACAGAAATTTAGCCAGTTGTGCTTGCTATGAACAGGCCAACTTGGTGTTGAGAATGTAGTTCGACTAAAGAGCATATGATTAAGCTTTCATAAAAAATATTTTTAATGTATTTTTAAAGATGGCAAAGATGTTAACTTTGAAGCAGGAAACAGAAGCTTTGCTATTGGAAGTTACTGAGCTAATTAAGCAGCTGGAGGCTGATCTTGAGGAGGGAGAAAAAGCTTTGGAGTTGACGAAATAGTGAAGGAAAAAGCTCGGCATGAAAATTGATTGTATGTCACTTTGGAGGCTTCAGCAACTCCTCGCAGATGTGCAAAAAGGTATTAGTATTGAAACTAAGAATATTTGTTATTTTTCAGTCAATTCATTACTGAGAGTAAAAATTATGATATGAGTACAGTTGTGTTTACTGTAATAGGAGTACAATATTTACTCTTCTGAATTTGGTATACTTGAATAAATATCTGGAAAAAAAAAAGGGACGTCTGAGAAATAACATAAGTGTAAGGAAGACACTTAAGATGATAATAAATACTATGTTTGGGGCAAGAAATGAAAAGCCAAAACATAATTCTAAAAAAATGCATTTGAATTACATTACAGATTAAACCAGAAATAAATAAGTAATTTCTTTTGAGAAAAATTCATCCATGATAAATTTGAACAAAGTACTCGTTTATTTAATAGAAATGGACATATCATTGGTAGGTATCCTTGAAATCCCAGATTTTGGGGATGTTTACTATTACCTTTTGTGATGAACAGGCATCCACACAGTCGAATTAAAGAAAAAAAAGGGGTGGGGAGGGGGAAAGGAGCAACTTAGCAGTTTGCTGTTTGTGTTCTGGCTCATGGGCAAAAGCAGGTGCTCTCTGAATTTAGGCTTGTAGAAGAGCAGTGTAATTTATCACAGTAAGTTCCCAAATATAAAATCACGATTGTACTCTAGTGCATATTCTGATGCATATCACCCTGAGGTTTTTGACAAATATCTCACAGTCCAGAGTGTGGTGACAATGCAAGAGACTCTGTAGCTGTGTTTACTGATGGGTAAACATTAAGTGAAGATCAGTGTATAATGAAAGCAAGACAGTCCCAAATGCTTCTTCCCCCTGTCCATGAAGGTGAAATGTCAGATCTTAACTATATATCCTTAACTGTATATGAAAAAAAATATTTGTTTGTTTGTTTGTTTGTTTTAGCCAATGGCTAACTCTTGATTTGGAAATTAGAAACCTGTGTTAAGGTGCTACCAGTTTGCAGAGATTGCTTTTCTTAAAAGCAATTGCCTCATAAGGACAATTTTAGATGCCTTAAAAAGAGAGGAGGACATTGGATAAATAATCAGAACTAAAAATCATTGACAGGATAGAAAATGCTTTCAGGAGCAAATCCTGTGGCAACTGAAAGGTCAGTTTTACAGAAGTAAAGAAATGCAGTAAGAGAAGGTTGATAATATAATCTTCATTCCTCAGCACAGTAGCTCAGGATTTTTGCTGCAGAGGTGTTACTTTCTACTTTTGATGTTCCTACCTACGGCGAATGCAGTTGTAAATAATCTTTCTGTGTTGCTATGCATTTCTGTTTCTTTACTGTTTAGCATTTTCTATAAATATCAAAAGTTTAGAATAGTAGAATATAATTATCACATTTTCAGTTCTGTTAATATAAGCAATGATACAGTATTATTTTTAATTTTTTTTAAGCAAAATAAAGCAGCATGAAATTCGGCTGTGAAAATTGACCAGGTTTTTCTCCCTTGATTTATCAGTGGGCTATGTCAGTATGGTGTCATGTCCTTGGAGTAAATTTGTAATTTTCAGGATTATGACATTTCATAGTATTATTCATAAGACAAAAAATATGCTAACGTGGTTTTGAGGATAAAGAGAAAAGACCCTCAGGGATATCATAATTATCCCTAATCTAAGTATTACAAACCCAGGAGATTAATTAAGAGTTTGCGTGACCTATTCAGAGTAGACACTGAATCCTGTTATTTCTTCAGACTTACCTTGATTTCCATTGTTACTAACTCCTGCTGTATCTGAGTCCTGTAGCACACTCATGTAATTACAGTGATGTAACCTATCTTCAGAAGTTACCTTCTCTGAAGTAGAACAAAAGTTCAGTGTAAACCACATTTTATTCATCTTAATGTTCAACATCATTTTGTACGATGCAGACAAACCACTTGTTCATGCAATGTCTTTCTAACTTTTAGTAGAAAATTACAGTTTTGCAAATTTGTGATTTATGTCTTGTTAACATAGCAAAATTTATCAACTGTTGAGGAACTTCACTGAATATTCTACAGCTACTTTCAGAAGTAAAGTATTTTTTATATCAGTAAAATATGCTTCCCTCTCTCAAAATTATGGCCAAGTTTACTTCTCTTGAGATGTTATCTGATTTTTTTCTCATCTGATAATTTTACTTTACTTTCCTTAGTTTCATACCAATAAATTTTCCGTCAGCTGCTGCATAACACCATCTCTAATAAGCTTTTTTATTTCTAAGCAAGATAAAATATATTTTGTTATTCAGCAACCAGTGGTCTAGTCATATATTTTCTTGTAAAGACCCATTGGAAATTTATACTAAAGTCAGAAAATTAAATGCAGCAAACTGAATTAAGACTGACATACTTCTGTGTGGCAACAGAATATGTTTTGTTTGTTAGCTTTGAGTTTGTATCCTTAGTTTAGCTTTTTTGAAACCACGTTTAGTTCATGAAGTGTCCCTGAACTGAAAACAGTTTTCTTATTAAAAGGTTGTGTGCCCTGTGCTTCCTGTGCATCAACATATGTCATACATCAACATAGCTGGAGGCTAGGAAGCTTGGTAAAGCTGTTCTTGTGTCATAATAGCCTCCTCTAGATATGCCTTAAGGCTAGATGTTTTCATTTCCTTCATAAACCAAAACCACCCCTGGCTTTGAACATTTGCTTGATTTACACACTAGGATAATTAAGTATGAGTTTATAAAAACGTTCTAATCCTAATGCAATATTTGGTGATCTTTTGTAACCAATGTCCTTTTTCGGCCTTCAAAGTAGTCCACAGTTTTAGCATTATGATAACATATTTCCTAATCTCACTAGGTATTTATGTTGTCATTCAGAAACTCACAGTTTTTGTGCTAATTACCTTTTTAATGGAATATGAAATGCGTGTTCAAGATATCTTGGAGCTACGATGGCATTTTCATAGTAAAAGCTGTCAGCTGCCACAGGTACAAAACCAAATACTTAAGAAACAGCCAACTGAGAGATTCGGGAGGATATAGACTCCATGAAGAAACACAGCCCTCTGCTGGAAGAAAAGCTGAATCTAGAGGGCGAAACTGTGAAGGATATGTTACTGGTGTATGAAAAGGTAAGTACGAATCATATGAGCATGTTTCTTTTAGAACCTTTCCACTACATAGGTGCATAACCTTTCGGAAAACAACGGTCTTTTGGAAGTATCAAAGTCTGTTGTAAATTTAATATGCAAAGACTGTGGACTGTGTGCCCATACCACTGCATACAGGCACTCAGTGCAGACAGAATCCGGGGAGCATAATGCTCTTGGCCTTTAATAAATGTCTCTTAAGCATACATGGAATGTAATTCTAACTTTATAAGTTGACTTCATGGGGGATTTTTCATGGGAAAGATAGAAGGCACATATCTGATATTTGCATAGATTCTGCTCACATTTCTCACAGACATCTGTGTTTCAGAACATGGAGATGTCAAAAAAAGTTTGCAAGATTCAATTATTCTTAGGTACTAATGTACATTTTTTCTAATTTATTTGTTTATGGTATTTAATGATTGTAATATTGATAATAATATATTATTTTTGATAATAAATGCTAATGTGGATTATGCCAGTCTAAATAATCAAAGTGAAGCAAATTTCCATGTAACTTAAAACTGATTTCTGAAACTGGAGGGATAATGTTTTTCTTCAAGTTCAAATGCTAGTGATAATTATTATGTTTTCTATATATTTTCTATATAACAACTCTTGAGTGTTATATCTTTTTCAAGATATTTACAGTTTAAAATGGTCTCTTTTTTTTGTAGGCCATTCATAATATTGTCTCTTTTAATTTGTGTTATTTTCAATTCATATTTGGATAACTCTACAGTCATGTCAAAACACTTCTAAAATGAAAAAGTTAGTTGCCTATTACACAAATAGTATGAGAATTATCAAGAATTAGTTCTAACCTATGAAACAGCTCGCGGTTCTATCAGTGCTATGAGATATGTTTGAAATACTAATTAAAAATCAAGTTGATAACTTTTTAATTTTATATCCTTTTTTCTTATTAATGCCTTGAAATATATTATATGCAGTTCAAATATTGAGACGTACTAAAATACAACTCCGTAAGTACACTTAAAATATTTTTTTCTAAAGACTCTTTTTAATAAATACTTTTTTTTTCAGAGCAGTTTTTTCTGCATATCATAAGAAGATAGACTTGGTGTTACTGTATTTATATGTATTTATTTATGACTATTTATATATTTGTGTTTATCTTATTTATATATTTACTTTCAACAGAATTTCTAATTGTCAAGTAAATTACCTGTGGCTTTTATTGTAATACAATTTATGTAGTTAGTTACTCAGATTTGGGTTTTCCTCCCACAGCCTTAAAAAAGCAGCTGATACTTAGTTTTCTTTGCAATTAAAACAATTATTTAATATTCAGTCCCTTTTTTAATATCCAGAGAACTATTTTAAGCAGTGATGTGCTAGATTATAATAAAGATTTTATATTATTTTATCTCTTTCTATTTGTAATATTTTAAAAAGCAGAGACAACAGACGTGCATATCTCTATTTGAGAGTTGTTACAAACCGAGTGTCCCAATACTATTAAAAACATTAAAAATTGCAGTCACTGGCAGCATTGTCTCAGGCTCCTTCTTTACAAAGGTGACTGCCAGGCTTGCACAGCCTCTGTTACATGTTTCAGTTATGATTTTGTCAGATTACTGACTGAAACTTCAGTGGCTTCTTTGCACATTATTTCTTTCTTTCTGCTCCAGAGGTCACTATCTTCCCATGAAAGTAGCCACCTTTTCAAAAGAACTCCAAAGTTTTTTAACAGAATGAAAACCCTCTTGCTAACATTTCATTGTATTATGAAATTTTACAACACATTCTGTTGTTTTTCCTGGAATTTCATCTTTAAACATCATTTTTTAAACTGCCAAGAATCAGTCAAATCTCGAAATTATATTTTCTTTTAAACATTATGTATGATTTTTATATAACATCTTTCAGAAAATTTGTTTTATTTTCTTAGGCATCAAAAATATGCGGTGATGTTCATTGGAAACTTATGGAAATACAAAAGGCAATGAAAAGAATTGACCCTTGGATTATCAAGCGGAGCAATAGTAACAATAGCACACTGCTAATAAACAGTCAGCGACAAGTATTCTCTCCTTTCTATCGCTGAATATGCAAAGAGTCAGTACCAAGAATAACTATGCCAAAGAACAAGAATACCGAGTACTTTGATATTTGGTAGGAGGGTGCACTCGACTTTTCTCCACATGCCGATGGCTCGGTACCAGGTTTTATTTGGCAAAGTAGCAAGTGATACGGTGGCTCTTTTTCACTTGAGGTGAGGAAGGCTTACAGGCATAATTGAAAGACATCAGTACATTTTCAAAATAAATGAGTGGCCATAGTAGGTTTTTCCAAAATTCTGCATGGTAATTATGGAGTATATAAATTTCGTGTAAGTCATGAAATTTGGTCCATCTTATTCATTCAGAACCTCTGGGGTTCACTAGGAATTTATATGCCAGTTCCATAATTCAAGTTGCACTATGCACTATCTGAGTTGGGTCAGCATGCCCTTTTCTGGCATTCCAGAGAGTTAATGTTTTAAAGTGCCTCATGTACAGTCGCAGTTAAAAACCTGTCCTGCCCACTGATGTTTCATTCAAGGAAGTAAGACTAATGCTAATGGTTGAGCTGTACGTGCAGACTTGTGTCCTTTGTAACCTCATTTCAGTAAATGTTAATTTCTCATCCATTTCAAGGGGCTGTCCCATGTAACTCCCATTCCCTGTTTCTTCTAAAGGATCATTTTCGTTCAAATTCACTACAGAGTTGGCCTCATTAGTTTACCTAAGAGCTGTAAAGGGGCAATTACAGAGCTGAAGAAAAGTTTCTTCTTACTGGATGCCTTATTTTTTTAAGAAATGAGGACTTTAGAAAAGTATCTGTTATCTGAAGATCCATTTATCTTCTCAGGTTAGTGCCATGTCTCTTCAAAATGAAGACATTGCAATTCTCTTGCTGCAGGATGTCTGTTTCCATACACTGATCCACTCAGCTCACACCAAGTACTGTGAACACAATATACTCCCTGATCATTTGTAGAGGAGAATTATGTTTATTGGATAAACAGTGGAATTTCATAAAGTTCTTGGCAGCAGCACTATATTCCTCAAAGAGATGGGCCATCTGTCTGCTAGACTATTGGGTGATTCTAGAACACTGTGACACTCTTTATGCTTCCAAATGTGACTGTGAACTACAAGAGCTACTCTTACCACCAGCACAGGTGGAATACCTGTAAAAGCTGTTATTCACTTCTGCTCACTTGATGCCTGTTTGCCAAAGATGATTCTTGTCTGCATGTATCTAAAAATCTTATGCCACACATCAACCCATCTTTGCCAAGAAAACATTCAACTCTAGAAGTTGTTACTGTCAGAAATAAATGTGGTCATTTTCGTTGTGTACAGGCCAGCAGCATGCTTGCTAGACTTTCTAAAAAGACAGAAAGTAAGCAGCATGAATAATTTATTGTCGTGATTTAACCCCACTAGGCAGCTGAGCCCCACACAGCCACTTGCTCACTTCCTCTGAGCCAGGATGGTGTGGAGAAGCAGAAGGGTAAAAATGAAAAAACTCATGGGTTGAAATAAATACAGTTTAATAGAAAAAAAACAAAAGCCACACAAACAAGCAAAGCAAAACAAGGAATTTGTTCACCACTGCCCATGGGCAAGCAGGTGTTCTGTCATCTCCACGAAAGCCAAGCTCCATCACATCTGAGCATATACTGTGGAATATTCCTTTGGCCAGTTGAGGGGCAGCTGTCCAAGCTCTGTCTCCTCCTAACTCCTTGTGCCATCCAGCCTGCTTCCTGGTGGATTCAGGTGCAGAAAAAGCCTTTGATCTGTGTAAATGCTGCTAACATTCCTGCGTTATCAACACTGTTTCCAGCATAAACACAAACCATAGCATCATACAAGCTACTATGAAGAAAATTAATTGTATCGCAGCCAAAACCAGTACACTTATACACAGCCCATTATAATTCTTGCATTCAGTCTTTTATAAGCTTGTCTACCATGAAGGCCAAAAACAAATCTTCAAATAACTGAGTAGCTGAGAGAGCTTAGGGTACTGTGAGTTACCATTTTATTTGATGGACCAAATAGGAAGAATTGTTATACTATTTAACCCGTATGTCTACTGCATTTGTAATATATGGGAGAATAAAACAAGGCATACAGTAGAATTAGGGGGTATCTTGGCCCCCTCCATGAATGGACCCACTCTCAGAGGGGCATAAAGAAGAGGTCATAGTGAGTGGAGACATTTTCTCTTGGTTTTAAATTTTCTTTTAAGTTCTTTCTTCAAGAAATAACTGTAATTACTAAATGTGATTGTTTTGCTTACCGTTTATGGTGCTCAATATCCCATAGTAAAGAGCTGCAGCTGATTATAATGGGGGGGTTGGTTGTATCATTGTTTCTTTAGATTATAACATATTGGCAACTTTATTTCAAAAACTGATTAGTGTTCAGGAACTTGAAACACTTCTTTCAGTCCCACAGAAGGGGTACTTGCTGCCTGCCTCAGAATCTTGACAATTAATAAGCCTTGAAGCACAAAGTAGCACTGACTTTTCCAAAACAGAGCACTCTCACAATGTATTTTGTGGTAATTATCAACATCAGGAAATCATTACTTTGGCTAATATGACTGGTCCTTTTGATGTCTGCTATCCAGGGAGATCTGTGCTTGACAGTCAGCTAGAGCAGAAATAATACTGACACACTCCTGAACAAAGGAAGGTTGTTTAAAAGCAATAATCCTGTTTCTTTAAGATGTCACATCACTGTGGATCTCTTTGTCATTGGCACTAAACAGCAGAACTGAAGAACTCTTTCTGTAATATGTTCATACTTTAATATGTGAGCAGGAGGAATCCTGGGTAACATGCGTTTACTCAAATGATGTAAGAGGGATAGCTTAGCAATACTAGAGAACTAAGTGTGTCTCTCTGACTTGTTTCTTTCGTCCCCACGTCTGAATTTTTCCTTTTTTTTTTTTTGATTCTAAGCTTTATATAAGCTTTACGATAATTATGCTAATTATATTTTTTTATCTCCAAGGTAAATTCGCAGTCAATACATTTATTTTTAGTTACTAAAGCTTAAGCTCTTAATTTCAGAGCCTGATTTTCATTCAGGAAAGAATATTAGTATATGAAAAATTAAAATTGTAGTCAGATATATAGCTAAATTGGAAGTATTTTATTATACAACCCCTGAAACTAGAATTTTGTCATAACACTTGTCAAAGCTGGAGTGACTTCTGAAAATAATTCTCCAATTAATGTCACTATGTATGTCTAAACAAAAGAAGAGGTATGTGAAATAACACATTTTTTATGTATATGAGCCTGTGAATGCAAGCTTCACAATGTCTCCACAATGTTTGGAATTTTAATTATAGCTTAAATATGTATATAGAGATGATCTGATCAAATACTCATTATCTCCTCCATGGATTCCAGCTGAGAGAAATCAGACAGCATGGACCTTGCTTCTGTAACTTGCTAAGTTCATTGCAAACCTCATGTTGATTTTAATTATGGAAAAGATCAGGTACTGAGTAAGAAGTATTACCAAAAATGTTGTGTGATTTATTACTATGTATTCAGATACTCTGCAAGTGAGTTTAGTGTTTCACTAGCATATTCAATGTTCTATCAACTCATCTGAATTAGAAGCTGCTGGTGAAAGTTATTAGCAATGGTTATAGTGACCATTGCTGGAGGTGATTTTATCATGTAGTACCAGAATAAAAACTGTTAAAATTATACTTTCTTTTCTATTTTTCTTTTTTTTTTTTTAACCATTCCATCCTATACCTATGATTAAACTTTTTCTTTATCTATTCATGTTTACAGAGTGTGATTTTTGTCCTTTTGTGAGCAAATTGCTGTAGTTTGGGAGTCTAAGTCTTAAGATGTATGCAGTGATAAATATTGCTGTGTATTGTCAACCTTCTTCACTAGGCTATATTCTCCTCTACTTAGGACTTTGTTCATTCTTCCTTTCTTTTTTCTAAAGCAACTTTCATTATTTTCAATGTGCTTTCAGAAGACTTCTGTATTTTATGGCCTTTTCACGATGTACTCTGATTCCTTTTCATTACGGTGATATAACTCTCTGAAATGGGTTGAAAGGTAATGCAAACAGTATTCCAAATTCAGCCATGTCACTGACTTAAAGAGGAACATATTAATCTCATTTTTTTTCTGATGTTTACATCCCATTTCTTAATTTGGAACTTTAAAATGTACTTAATTTCTCTGATCTTCTACTTCTTTTTGAGTTTGGACACTAAATGGTATGTACTCTTTTGTTACCCATTTACTTAATTTGCATTGAAATTTTTCTTAAGTTTTTAAATTTGATTTGGCCTTGCCTATTGTAATCACATTATATGCAGAATTTTAGTTTAACTACATGTTGCTCTTTCATGTAATTAGTAAATATATCAAAGCACAGATATGGGACTTTGAGATACCATGCTGTTGGCCTATTATTTCAATGAAAATTGATCATTTAATCTTACTTCTGCATTTTCATTGATGTTAGAATTTTTCATCTTGCCTTCTATTTCACTTTTTAAAAGTTTTTTGTGCAAGATTTTTTCAGTTCCCTGTAGAATTCTGTCACTGTATCACAGCTGTCAGCTTGCTTAGCAGTTATAGGGCAATGTGGGCAGTTTTTCTGTTTTGTTTTGGTAGTCTTGGTGCAAATCAAGGCTCTAGAGATTGTTTCATGTGCAAGAAAGAAAGTGTGGTATTTTCCTGTAACAAGCCTTTGTTCTGAGGTGCATTAAAATTTCTTTGTTCTTTTGTTCTTTTTGAAAGAAGTCATAATGTAAGTAAAATACTCATGATAATGGCAATAGGTAAATAATACCAGAAATTAATCATCTATACTGACAGAAATATGCCATGTATATTTTCTGTTTCACCTAGTTATGTGATTTCCTATTCATACCCCATGAGAGTGACGTAGACTGCACCTTGCAACCTATTTTGTGTGACTGTGAATTTAACTAAAAGTGCTAATGACAAGGATGTTTTTAGGAATATCAGCATTTTGGGCAAAAACTAGAAAACTGTTCTTTTTATACCACGGTGAAAAAAAATTTTTTTTTTTTCTTACTATATCTGTTAATTTTTTTTTCCAGCTATTTGCTAGACTGGTAGTTAAAGTCATGCTTGCATTACAGAGAAAGTAGACCTTTCAGCTGCCATCTGAGGAGGACTAGAATAACATGTGGTATCGATAGGTGTGAGAAAGACAGATTTGTGGCGGCACAGACTTGAAAGACTGTTCTGCAGTTCATACTCTTTTCTTTATGTTCAGTGCCATCACTGAGAAAATGATGAAGACTGCACAAAACTGAAAATACTGAGGCTGTTGTACATCATATGGCACAGGCTGTTGCTTTTACACATACACATTGTGGCTGATAGTGCTGTAATTTTTCATGAGAAAACTACAACTCAGAAAGTTGCTAAAAATATATTCTCTGACACTTCACAAGGTAAGTCTTTACTTCACTAGATGAAACCTTGGAAGCAAGTTAAGGAAGAAGGTCTATAAAATAATCTTGTAGAAATGGCTCTTGAATTAGTGATGAAGGCTCTTTATTTTTGTTTTCTGTTTTCTGAACTGCATCTAAGTATGCAACACTTCAGGATTTTTTGGGTTGTAATGCAATAGATGTCTGTAGAACTCAACTACTGTTGGTCTTAGTTCTGCTGTGGTGGATTTATTTTGCCATTTAAAGCACACTTTTACATATATTATTGACCAGAATCGTTCTCTAGGGAGCATGCAGGGAAGGTTTTTTCTGCCTGCTGAAACAATAATAAAAATAAGGTACAAACACCAGCAGCCATTTAAAAATTCTAACCCAATATCCTTCTATTTATTTTGCCTTTTGTCAAATCAATTCCCACACACAGGCATAACAAAAGCCCTCTTTTCAACCTATAATAAGGCCTAAATGTGTCACGTGGGAGTGCTTTCCTGAAGTTATTATTATCTTGTTCTATAATTATGGCAAGTTTTCCTTCTTACAATGCTGTTAAATCTGCTATTTAGAGTGAAAGTCCTTGTCCCCTCCTTTGACACTGCCTACAAGTTCCTTTTAACATGAAAAATTGACGTAGGTAAAAAATTTACTTCACAAATGACATTTGTCCACAAAATTACAGTGAAGTGGGTTGATTAAATGAAAATAGTTCTGAAGTAGATACAGCCACTAGCAAGCAGAGTGTTGACTCTTAGTTTGTTTCGTAAACATATGAGATATGAAACAAAGCCTTGTGTTTAGCTACACCAATACCTGCACAGAGATCCAACGTTGGCAGGCTGTTTAGGTGCAAGTGAACTGGTAGCATGAGTAGTTTTGATATCTGGCTGAAACTGCATGAACCTGCCAGGGCAGATATTTTGAAATTCTCTCATGCTTACCTGTTCAAGAAATGTAATAGAGAATCAAAATAAATCTTTACTAATTCAGATCTGATTTACATTTTCCTTTATGGAAAGGGACTACCTTGGAATATTTCCAAATAGATGGATTCACTTTGTGTGTATTTCTATTAGGAACGAGTTAAAGCATTCTGAATTTATTTGGACTGAATACTGTATGAAGTTAAAAGAAACAGAGGTGAAGATTATAAAGGATGAAAAACACCTTGAGGAGTTAGTGAAGCAAAAAGCAGAAATCCAGGAAGATGCAAAATGTTGGAACAGCAAAGTGAGTCTTGAATATTTATAAACAAGCAAGTAAATGAGTATCTTTTATTGAAAAGTACATGAATGCCTGAATATTTTGTATCTTTAAGAGTTAAGGTCCTCTGTAAAAGTAAAAATACAAATATGAATTTAAAAATAAGAAATAATAGATTCTATAGAACTGTCTTGTTCATTATTTTGTTTCAGTATTATTTTTCAGCTTTAATTATTAAAAATATCATAAAGTAAGTGACTTGGATATTTTTAGTCATTGGATGCATATCTGCTTAATATTGCTTATCTTCTAAAATCATCTGGAAGAAAGTGTACATTTAATGGGACAGTGTAAGTGTCCTCTGGAATGATCAGATTTTTTGACCTGAGATGGCATATGATACACTTTCACAGCATGCATAGTGAGACCCTATTTTACTTAAAATTCCTGTGTTTTCTGCTATATTTGTTTAGACTTCACTTTGAAATTTTGTACTTTGCAGTCTAAAATCTGGAGTTCCTCACACTCCCTGACTGATTTTCAGTTAATTGACAGCTCCATATGTGGAACCAATAGAAAATGCCTAGAACAGGATTTAGATGCCCACAACAAAACCTGCTATTTTTTCTATATGTATGTATATGTAAACAAGTGTAAATAAAATATGAAAACCTTTCTCTTTTATATGACCAGTACCATCGTGGCTTGTGCATCTAGATATCTACATCTTGCCAAGGCTCCAGTGGAATCCAGAATACAGATGGAGGATTTCTGAGAAGCTGAATGTACCAAACAAGCCCAGATCTTAATTAAAAAAAAAAACACCAAGGCAATCCCCTTTCAAAAGTGAAGATACAGTCATATTAGAGCCACCAATGGGCACGTTCTTGCCATTTTTTTCCAGCTCTGTATTACAGTTTTCTTCCTGTTACTGATGCCAGCAATTGCTACCAACTGATACACAGAACACAACTACATTTAAACAGAACCAATACTTATTAGTGAACCTTTTTTTCCCTTTTATTTTTCTTTTTTCATATGTTTCCAGCTGAGTTTGATGACCTGATATACATCAACATGTACTAACTGGGTATTAAGACCAACGCAAGAGAAAGAGAGACATGCACAACAGGGATAATGGAACTGCTCCATTAGGTGGCCACCTTAGTTTATGCTAAAGGTGAACCACAGTTAAGTTTAGCATAAAGCTGATTTGCCATTGTCAATTTTCTTCAAAAACATAGCTAAACCAATGAACTGAGTAGATATTTATAAATAATAGTGGTATTCAGAAAGCTCAAAGGGATTTTTCTGGTCATCATAGAAAAGTTGCTGAGGCAATGGAGTTATTTTAGGAATTGGGAAAATACTGGGTTTATTTATTAGTGACTTTAATGGGGTTTGAATTGGATCCAAGTTATAACATGACCACTGTCACATACAGCAATAAGTTTGAAGATAGAACGAGTGATGTGAACTAATGTTTTTCGGCATTGTTTTTCCTTGCTCTTCTTTCTTGTTTTAATTCATGCTGTTTTTTAAATTTTATATATGACCTATTAGGAATGTTTCAACTTTTGACACTGTAAAGAAAACTCTGAGTTTTCTTTTTATCATGTTACTCAGATTTACATTACAAAAGATATCTGTATGCATTAAATCTATTTTCTGTATCTACATGGGCTTTGCTTTTCAAAGATTAGAAGAAACCCTTCTTATAAAATGGATCTCATACTTAACTATTAATCATTTATTCTTTTGTCTTCATTAATTACCTGCACAGTGTGACAGTGTTTCAAGTCATTCCTGTCAAAATGTTTGCTCTAAAAACATTGGAAGAGGGAAAAACATTTCTGAATAATGTTTTTCCTATGTACTAGCAATTTAAAAACTGGGACATTTTGCTCATACTTAATCAGTTATGGTTTTCTCCTCTGTAGATGTAGCTAGATTCTCCTTGTCTTTCTCACACTTCCCCTGAAGAGTATTTTGAATCAGAATGATAGAATGGTTTGGGTTGGAAGGGACCTTAAGGATCATCTAGGTCCAGCCCCTTGCCTTGGGCAGGGACACCTTTCACTAGTCCAGGTTGCTCAAAGCCCCATCCAACCTGGCATTGAGCACTGCCAGGGTTGGAGCACTATATTTCTTAGACTATTTTGCATATTGAGAGCTTTAGTAATTTGCCTTTTTTTCTCCTTCTAGACTAGGAAAGGTGCTTCATTGCAGTTTTTTCTCACAGATCATGTTTTATAATCCCTAACCATTCAAGTTAGGACTCTCAATCCCCAGCCAGTTATGAAGGTACAGCCATACAAGGACAGTTGGCAGAATCCTGGAGGAGTCCAACAGAGCTGTGACATTCTGATCAAGATAACAAGACAAAGCTTGTACTGTTTCCCTCCTTAGCTGATGGGACTTAGTCACAAATATTCCTATGTAAATCTGTTCTTCCTTGTATGCTTGAGGTAACAGTAGGAAACTCCATAACATTTAAAGTACTTGTGTCCCAATTCTGGACTGATCCTCCCACATGTGCTCTCTAAGACCCTTACCAACCTTCATACTGCTAGACAGAACAAAATGTTTGCTGTCTGGGCATATTCCAGTTAGACTCTTATCACTGTGTGAGTGTGAATTGCATAGGTAAGTTTTGCCAGGATAGCAATGTTATTTCAACCTCTGCAGAGGAAAGACAGCTGAGAAATCTGGTCTAGTGGAAGGTGCCCCTTCCTGTGGCAGAGGTGGTTGGAACTAGGTGATCTTTAAGGTCCCTTCCAACCCAAATCATTCTATGATTCTATGAATCTCTGCAGGATTCTATGAAGTAAGAGAGATATTGAGATATTAAGGAAAACTTTGGGCTGAGAGAAACTTAAGGTATTCTACTTCTTTATACCACATAAGTAATGTATGAATTAGCAGGCTGTGAGTGTGTACTTTTAATTACGAAATATTTTCTAGATAGAATATGTGGATAATAAAATAGGAGACCAAGGAGATGAGAGTGTAAAAATATCGGATGCTATTTCTGAAATTACAAAAACTGTGGAAGAATTAGTACGTTTTTTATTGTTTTTATATAAATGAGGTGAAAATGCTTGCATACTTGAATCTTCTGTGCTGACCTGAAATAATTTCAACTTATGATAAAGGTGTCTTAAAGTTTTAATGCTCATTAGAAATCCACCAAGGAAAGGGATCTACTGAATATAAAACAAAAGATTCTGAATAATAATGAAGCACTGGAGAGTTTTGAAATGTAAACGTTAAGAACTTGAGGGAGAAATTGAAGAGTTTTTGAAAAAAATCAGAAATAGGTAATGCCTGCAATATAAATTTAGGAAGCAAGCTTTATTTTTTCACTGCAAACATACCTATAAAAGTGAACCTTAATTTTATTTTCAGTCTGTCTGTAATATTATATTTCATTAATTTCAAATTACTTCAGGCTGAAATTTACCATCCAACTTTTCTGATCTTTACTTTAAAAAAACATAGTTATGCAAAAGACAAAATACATACAATGAGGAAGATTCTGAAATTCTTTTTTTTTTTTAACAGAAACCTCAGTCCCAAAAACATTTTGGTAAAAGCTTTTATGATTTTTTTCATATATGATATTTATTAATATAAAGTCTGAAATACTGTTTTTCTTTATTTTCTTTGAATTCTTGTAAGATACTATGCACACATATTTTGCAACTCTTCATTTTATTGAGTCCAAACAGCTACACTTTAAATTATACTGTACATAATATTCTCAGCGCTTTTGTAATATAACAGAAAAAACCTCCCATTTTTTAGTTTCTTATGCCTTTGGACACTAGGTATATGCTGATTTTATATAGCTGACAGATTATCTTCTTTATCCTCCCAGAAACTTTGGATTTTATTGTCTGATTTCTTTAAGATATTGTCTGAAAAGTTCTTTAAGATAATTAGGTTCTTACAAGTTTTGTAGGTATTGATGACGGAGTCGAATAAATACATCTTGTCAGCATGAAAGCATTCCTTACTAGATCCCAAAAATGCCACACAAGAAGTGTTGGAAAAGGGAGGGGATAAAAACATGAGAGAAAGGAGGAGCTATGTCCATACTTCTTATTAATGATCCAAGTCAGAGCTCATACCTTAACATACCAAAGTAAATCAATGATGGGACACAAATGGATAATAAACCAGGCTTCATTAGTTCTGATGTTGATGGAGCTACTTAAGGGATTATTAGAACATTTTAAAATTAGTGATGGAGCTTTCTAAATTTATTATTTTTAATTTCATTGATATCTTTCTTGAAGGATAAAATTTTTATTTCATCATACCTGTCATAATGGAGAGAAATCTTACCCATTTTGGAAGTATTAACTGAAAAGCTGAAAGAGGAAATTCAGATTTGTAAGAACAGATACAGATAAGTGCAAAGAATCCAGATTGAAAGGGGAGTTCTTGGAAAACAGATTTGAGAAATGTTATTACTTGACAGCATCTTGTGCACCAAAACTTTACAGGAATCCTAGAAAGACTGGGCACATTCACAGGAGAAATCCTTAGAGCATTATCTATTTCATACATAATTAGTATTGTTGTGAGTATACCCCGGTTATTGTCCTTCTACATGTTCAGGAATTCAAGAAATGCATGTGAAAATTCAGATTCAAGACACAGAGAATGGTTATGACAAGTTCCTGGTAATGAAGGATTCTAGGAGCTAAATCTATTTATATCTTCAAAGGATGATCTAAAGCCATCCTTTGAAGAGGAAATATCTTTTCAGACTACGATTCAGTCTAGTCCGAGGAAATAATGAGTTTAGGCTGAATATAGAATTCAATTCAGAAGTATTACCTTTTAAATCTTGCTTTAGTGGAAAAACAGAATTCTTAGTTAGGCTGATACAATCTCAGATTTCTATTTATTGCCTTCTTATGATAATTTAAGTTAACTCTTGGAAGGATTTTCTGGAATGCTATTTTATGGGACCCTTAGGCTCTCTCAATTCTACTTTCAAGACTGCTGACTTAGGATGTAACATATTAGACCTTAAAGGAGAAAGCAATTGCTAACCCCTCCTAAAAGTTAGAAGTTGTGTTTATTCCTCTTACGTGTTACCGAGAGGACAAATGAAGAGGGTTCTTTGTAGGTCTTTTTATTTGAAAGTTGCCTTTTATATTTTTGGAGTTCTTGACTGAATAAGAAGTGTTTTAACCAAAGGCTATAATAAATATAGTACAGGGGTCAACACACTGCCTCATGCTAGTCTAAGAATTTGAGTACTTGTTTTGATTAACTGTATCCTAACAGAACCTTGACAGGTTCCTTCAGTATGACTAAAAAAGAGTGACTGTCCACTTCCTACAAAGCTGCAAAATAGAGAATTGTCTTCTAACATTTCTCCTAGAAAGGTTGGCAGGGTATCTTTCCTTGCATACTTGCATTTAGAACATGCAGTTCATATAAGAAATGCATCTTGTGCTCACCTGAGATTCCAGAGGCATGTGCAGTTTAAATAGTCTCATTTCCTGTCCTGTGCTTTTTCTTCATATGAGAGAGAGAGTGAGAGAGAGAGATCTACATTTTCTGAAATGGATATCATATTTTCCTAGTATGTTTTATAAGTCTTTTGAAGGGGATCTGCTTTTTACATTCAGACGTGTACTTCAAATTATGGTGACAGCATTGATGAGGAAATCATCACACACGCTGATGTTGAGTGCTGTATAGAAGCATCCAGAAATAGGGTTGCCTTTGGGAAAATGATCATGAATTCATTTTTTCCCAAAACTATTCCAGGACTGATTTTAGAAGGATCTAAAATACAAAGTTTATGCAAATTTGGGTGGGGAAAAAAATTCCAGTTACTGGAATACTCTGGGATTTGTTGTCCATATGAACATTCTCTCCCTATCTGTGTTACCTTTCCTTCATATTACGTTAAACATCTTGAATGAGAGAAGCTGGGGAAAACCAATGCGTTTGACCTGATATTAACCTATTTCCCATGAAGACTGTGTATGTCTTAGTGATACTGTTAGATCAGAAAATCTCAGATCTGCATGCTATGCACAGTTGCTAAATGTATGAAAGCTTAGGAAAAGAAAAATCAAACACTTAGTATGCTTCTCATATGAGGACAGAGTTCCTGAGTAAGCTGCAGAAGCTGTGATAAAACTTTCGACACCTGTACATAGAGTGTACACATTGCACCAAAGAACTTCTTTCAGCTGCATTCCACTTGCTTTTCTGCTTGGAATATTTATGTTCCTCTTGCATCCTTGCTTGAAGTGTTTTGACTTCTAGAGTCATGGGTAGCCTTGTGTGTGTCAAAACAATTTTGCTGCATGTGAAAGGTATAGGAAATCAGAATGAAACAGTTACTGTTTGGTTCCTTTCATTTCTTTACAGCTTCAGCGCACATCTGCTTACTCTGCACTGTTCAGGTGAAATACTCTCTTGGCTTTGGTGTTTTGAAATTTAAGTCTTTTTATAACCAGAGACATTCTGAAAGAAGTCTCTGAAGCCATTTAATCACTGCCTTCCCAAAAAGAAGATTGGCTCTACTTATACACATTTTAAGAAACAAAGAGATGACATTTTTAGGGTTTTCCATGTTGGCTGTTTCAAAACTTCCCTGGGCAAGGTGAATAGTTAATTGTCCAGTGACCTTTTGTCAATATTTTAGGATATGTGTTACGTTCTTCAGGTAATTTATTTCTGGTAGACCATTCTTTTTCCTCCATAGTCCTTGTTTTGACCTGCCTCTGAGGCAGGGTAACTGAGGTTCTTGTTAATAGATCCATTGGGGTAGATTAGAGTGAAATGACACTGAATGACTTCTCATTTGATTATTTGGAGACTGTAGGGAAGCACCAGTGGTGTAGTGGTATCATGCAAGATTCCCATTCATGCAAGAAACCCTCAGCTCCCACCCTGTGCAGTGCCTGTATGTGTTAGGTGTAGTTCATCAAGATGCATAAAGGCAATGTGTTTTGTTCACTTCCTTTGTGCTTTTTGTAACTTGAATTTTGGGAAGGGTAGTTAAGTCACTGTGGGCTTGCACTCTCTTACAGGTGTTTCAAGGACTATTTAAACTGAAAGACTGTGTATTTAGAAACCAGCATTTCACATGCACTGAAATTGAAATGTGCAGTGTGTGTGTGTGTGTGTGTGTGCGCGTTTGCATGTGCGCGTGCTTTCACGCTTAGTCCTTGACCAGTTTGAAATCTCTGGGTTTTGTAAGGTAAATTATGCTTCCTTTCTATAACTAAGCTAATGACACCTTGTATTAAAGAAGCTGATCTTCGACAGAAATATTTTGGTCACTAATTCAGCTAAATAAATGCGTGAAAAGTGCTAATCTGTTGTGGGTTTGTAGACTAAGTATCAGAAATAATGTTGTATATCCTGCGAAGGTCCTCACAATACCATTTAGATTTATCATTCTGATTCAGTAGATAGTCAATTGTATCATTTATAGTCAGTTGTGTCAGTTTATTATTCAGTAATCCCATTCTTCTTCAAAGAAACTGTTTGATATATTGAAAGCATAATTATAACTTAATATTGAAAAATATTAAGTTCTAAGATTATAGAGATTGTATCCTATCAGTCAAAGCAATATCAGTGTTTATATGCAGGTTTTTTTGTAGTTGATTCAGATTGGATTTGCTGTGTAATCCAATAGTGTAATTGAGGGGTGTTTTAAGTTCGCACGTATTAAACAGTTCACTTCTGCTGAAAGTTTTGTTTGTAAGGGAATAAACTAAAATGGTTTTATGTGACCTAAGATTTCTGCAAAAAGCAAATACTTGTAATTTGAACTCATCAACTATATTACTAACCTGTACCACTGTACTGTATGAAGTATCCTGTACAAGGCCATTCATCATACGAAATACGAACTGAGACTCTGTGACAAATTTCAACACTTTAAGGTAAAAGGGCTGTTTTTATCACTTTCTTCTCATCCAGTATTGCTAGTTTGATATTATATTTGGGCCCAAAAAAGCTATTTAATGTTCAAATATCATCTCCTTCAAACACAAGAGCAGTCCATTCCAATGAGTAGGAAGTCAGGCAAAAATGCTGGGAGGTTTGATTGGATGAATAAGGAGCTCGAGGGAAAACAGATACAAAAAGGAAGCATATAGAAGATGGAAGCAGGGACAGGTAACCTGGGAGAAACACAGAGCACAGTGATGCAGTTAGAAAAGTTGAAGCCCAAATGGAATTGAATCTGGCAACAAGAAGGACTTCTGTTCATGCACAGATCACAAAAGAAAGACTACAGAAAATGTGAGCTCATTGCTGCATGAGGCAGGGAGCCTGATGGCACAGAACATGGGAAAGGCTGCAGTACTGAATGTCTTCTTTGCTTCAGTCTCTACTGCAAGAGCCAACCTACAGAAATCCCAGGTCCCAGAGACCAAAGGGAAAGGCTGGAGCGAAGAATGCATACCCTTTCTGAAAGAGAATCAGGTCAGGGAATACACAAACTGGACATACATAAGTCCACGGGCCTTGATAGGATGCACCCATGAGTGCTGAGGGAACTTGCTGATGTCATAGTGAAGCCCCTATCAATAATCCTTGAGTGACTGAGAGAAGTGGTTGAGGACTGGTGGAAGGCAAATATCATCCTATGTTCAAGAAAGGCAAGAAGGAGGACCCCAGGAACTATAGATGAGTCAGACTCACCTCAGTCCATGGAGAGGTGATGGAGCAGCTAATCCTGGACAGCATTTTCCAGGCACATTTCACAAGGACAAGAAAGTCATCAGGAGTAGTCAACATGGATTTGCCAAAGCTTCTAGCAGCTTCTCACAGAAGCTACCCCCATAAACCCCCACTTCCCAAAACCTGGCCACACGAACCCAGTACAGCAAGTCATAACTAGTATTATCATCCCAGGTATGTAGTCAGTCAGAAATATATCTCAAAGCTATAGATTTTTGGTAAGAGAGGGAATTTCACTCTCTAGGTATTGTGGTTTACTTGTTGACCAACTTAACCATTGAGATTCATCATCTCTTCATTCTTATAAAGGAGACCTGTGATACCTCTGCAAAAAATATCTCTACTATTAACACCACCACTCTTACTATTATGAAATACAGGATTTTTTTGGCTCCGTTCTTCCTTCCTGCTCATTCTGAAATGAATACTCCCATGCTGTGAGTTTTCTGATGTTGAATTCTGATCCAAAATCATATGGAATCAAAAGAACCAGCCAAAACTAGAGGGAGGCATTGCAGTATTTCACTGTAAGTCCTTGAGTTAGAACCCTCTTTGAGTCCTTTTGCAATGGTCCCAGATAGGAGAGGTTTACTCTGAGAGCTGTCAAAGACTATTTTTCTTTAGAATTAAATGTTGGATTTACTGTGATGAACAGAAGTCCTTCTGAGGTTTTTATTCCCTTTTTTTCCCCAGAGAAAAGTCTGTACCATTTTTATTTGCTTCTGACAATCTCCATTTGCTTTTGTTACAAAATTTGTTTGCTTCTGTTCTGTGACCTTGAACTGTGCAAGTGGTCAATAGCAGAATCTAATATCTATATCTCCCATTTCTAAACGGAGCTTACAGGGAAACTGGAGAGGGACTCTTCATCTGGAACTGTAGTGAGAGGACAAGGGGTACTGGGTACAAACTGAAAGAGTGGAAATCCCTAGTGAAAGGTGTCCTTGCCCATAGCATGAGTGATTGTGATTAGATGATCTTTAAGGTCCCTTCCAACCTCTTAACATTCTGTGATTCTATGGAGATGTCAAGAGCATAGAAGAGTTTGAGAGACAAGTAGCAGATATAGAACTAAAGATGCATTTAAAGACAGCCATGAGTAAAAGTAGTAGAGTCTGGACCACTCACTAGCATTTTTTTTGTCATTATGAAAAAAAAAAGAAAGAGAAAATAGAAGTCAACAGCTCAGAAGAGCAGGATTTTGCAGCTATGCAGTTGTGCTGTGATACAACATAAAACACAGCATCATTCCAGCCTTATTTTTGACCTTTCTTGCTTTCTGTATTAGAAAAATCTTTCTGTCTGCTTTAACTGTGGTGTTCTATTTTCTTACAAAAGGTAAGCTTGTTTAATATTTTCTTGTTTCCTCTGTAATTCTTACTTACAAGCTAAAGATAGCAACTAATGGATAAGCCCCCAGTAATGGCATGCTGGGGACCTTCTTCATTTCCCTGCTTTATGGATGCTACTGATAATAATGTTTTTCCTTCCTCTCATGGGAGGTCCATTTTCTATAATAAGAAAAAGAAACAGAAGATTTTTGTATTAAAACCAGTCCCTCAATCTACTTGCATTGATTTAATCAAGTACACTTGTCTCTTCCAAGCCTTTATTTTACTTCTGGTACAGCATTCCTGCATTTTTCAGTTCTGTCCTCTATCATCTTGAAAGTATGGCTAAAGAGCCATTTTATTCCAGTTGTATAGTGATGACCTAATAGCCTATTGCCCATGTTTGCAGTGGTATTAACCCTCCCTGAGGTTAAATTACAGGAAAAATTTCAGAGAAATAACCTTTTGTCCAGACGTGCTCCGACGGAATACTAACTAAACTTGTCTGACTGAGAAATATTCCTTTCGTTATTAGACCTTTCTCTTCTAGATCTGATGATCTTTTAGATTTTTGAAAGCTTTGCTTATATGGAGTGCTACAGCAGTGGTAATAGAGAGCAGAGGGCATGTATTAGGTGGGCATGCATTGTTCATGGCAACAAGTTGTTTTATGATAGGAAAGATATTTGAAACCTCCTTCCTGTCCTTTCCCCTTCCCTCCCCCACCCAAGAAAGTGTCTTAGCAACCAAAATTGAAAATATAGTAATCAATGTGAAACAAGTGATTATTCTGTAAGTGTCTGAAAGAGGAGGGCATTTTCACTGGACCATATTGCCAGAAAAGAAAAAGCAATATGCCTTTATTTTTGTTTCCAAATCAATAGGGAGAAAACTAGCTATTATTTAAGACAGGGAGTTTTCTGTAAGCCATATACTTGTTACAGAACATTCTCACAATCAAGTAAGATCAACATCTATTGAAACTGTTCAGTTCAGATTTTTTCTCTAAGCCCAGATACAAGAATTGCTGCTGCCTCAGCAAGAGTTTTTTTTTTGTTGCAGAATCAGTCTGTAGTAGTTCTATTATCCAACTACCAGTACATAACTTGTCATAGGTTATCCTCTTCTCAAGGTTTTTAGTGTTACTCTATTTGAAGGTCTCTTAACACAGTCTGAATGCAGTAATACTTCCCCATTTTTGGAGGAGAGACAGGGATTGTTGAACAGTTCAATAGTTCAATAATGGATTATGGGTAGTTTATTTTTGATGCAGATTTAATGAGTCAATTTGAAAAATTAAAAGAAAAAAATATTCTTCTAATAACTAATAGTGTTTTCCAAACAAGGCATTCATGGCAGTGAGTAATGTTGCTAGCCCTTCCCCAACTGAAACTAAGTAGAAACAATGTGACAAAGATCACATCATTAGTTTCCTGGAAACCTAGAGAGGTGTGGTATAAGTTATACATCATGGTCTACGCCATGTGTTAAAAGCTTGGAAACAGAGTTTGCACAAGCAGATTTGTGTGCAAATGATATCCAAAAGATATTGGTAACTTCCAGGAAGAACTTGCTCATTGATTACAAGTTTAAATTATTGTTTCAGAATGGAAATATGAATGCCTATTTTGATTTTTTAAATATATTTTAAAATAAATTTAAACATCGAATAATATAAATATTATACTATTTATGTAAACACATTTATTAATGTAAAATTTCCCTTACTACATGTGTTAATAATAATTTCTTTCATTTAATATTTGGTGCTCATATTAATGATGCAAATGAAATTTATACAATAGATGGGAATTGTTTTCCTTGAGATGCCAATTAATAATAAAATGAATTAATGAAAATAACAAAAAAGAGATATTTCAATATTTTATTTTCTTCTTCCTCCTCTTGTTAGCTGCCCTTAGCGGTATTTTGCATGAGGTAGTGACAATAGTTAATAAATTATTATTTTGCTTTTTATACACATTCCATGGAAGCTGTTCCAAACATATATTTTGATTTCAGAACTTTATTTCTAACTTTCTTTGCAGAAAGAAAATAAAGAAGCATGGGGAGCAAAGTAAGCAGTGATTTTTTATTTTTTTTTTTTTTCTGTAAGGTGAAAAAGACTATATGAAGTAGCAGAGGTATTTCTGTTTTAAAAGCGCATTTTTTCATTCAAAGTGTAGAGTATAAAAACCTACATTTTTATACATGATGGAAAAATGGGTATGGAAGGGAAAACAAAAGTAAGCTTAAAAATGGTAACTGTTACAGTATTTACTAACACTTTTTTTCTATAAATATAGAACAATAGCTTTTGAATATGAACACATCTATTTATGCATAAATTCTCCAGAAGATCTCCTATGTGGATCAGATAAGCTAGATAAAGAGCAGAAGCAAACTGAACAACAAGTTAAAAAAAAAAAAAGAGGTATTATGCAGCAATAATTAAATGACATAGAGGTGAATAATTTAATGCTTGTATCAAAGTATGTTTAATGTTGTAATGCTTTTTTGAAGTATGTTTAATCTCAGAGGTTAGGTTGCCATTTCTACACAGTTGCCTTTGAACTATATGCACACATGCACTGTATGTACTATTTTCTCTCTCTTGCTTGAACTAACCTATGAGGCCCATAGCCTTGAGACAGCATAAAGTACAAAGCAGAATTGATATTGGGGTCATTGAGAAGTCCTTTGCTTTCTTCATTTGCTACTCTGGCTCAGATTGCTTGAGGGGCTTTAGAAATGCAAGGGAGAAAATCAATAAAGAACAAAAAAATTTCAGTGTAATAGGAAGTGCCTGCTGATTGCGTGTTTGCTCAGCAGATGGCATCTTCTTGTAAATGATAGCTCATATCTGCCGTATCAGTTACTAAACTGTATAATTCACGAAAGGGAATTACTGAATTTCATTACTGAACACTGTGCTTTGTATAAACATGGTTATAAGCATTAGAAGAAACAACCTTTTTAGAAGAAACAACCATTTTCTTTCTAAGACTGTTCATTTTTTATTATTCTTTTACTTGCATATTGTATAAACTTGTTAGATACTACAGGGAAGTCATATAGATTACCAAAAAAGAAGCTTTCATGTTGTTCAGAGCAGCTTTCAGAATCCTGCAATTTCTACTGAAAAAACTCCAAGACTTATAAATGACAGAATCTTAAATTAAGCATTGGGAAAATCACTGATTCACTCAGGTTCCTAAATTCGACAGTGAAGATAGAGATTATGCATCTCTTTCTGTTAAAGATTGTGCTCTACCAAATGGCATGTTTACCAATAGATCTTAGAACATATGGAAATGACTGATGAGTCAGCATACAGATAACCAGTAATTTAACAATGTTTCTCAGGGCATTTATTTCCTATTTTTTTAATTGTTATTTTTAATGCTGCCTTTCCTAGTAATCGTAAATAACTGTATCTGTTATTTGTTTGAGCAATATTTGAGTTGGTGTTCTGAAGCAGTTATAGTAGAGGACTGTCCTGGTTAAGTGGAGTAAATCAATGTACAATCCTATTTGTAGGGTTCTGAACTGGTTACACTACTTGGATACCTTATATATTTCAGTCTTAGAGACTGATACACCTCTTTTATTGTAGAAATCGAAGCTTTGTAAAAGGCAGGCTTTATTAAAGGGTCTGTTCTTTTTTTAACAATAAGTAATATTTCTAGTTGTGCAGGATTATACTATATTATTCTGCTAATCACGTTCTATGGTTTTTAAGAAAAAGTTATTTAAAGTTCTATTCAAATATATTAAGGCTCTCCATGATTAAGATATTGGCCTGTTTAAAGCTTGTCCAGCGTGTAGCTTAAAGGATATTATGGAAGAAATGGGTTCCGTTCTGTAGCATTCTTCATACAGGAGTAATATAGTCTCCAAATTTCAACTGATCAAGCAATTCACTCAGTGCTTCATAGTACATCTATTTGAAGGCAAGATGAATCACAATGTGAAGGCTTCTTTGTCATACCACTGAATTTGAAGTGACTTAGTTTGGTCAGCTGACATTTAAATGTCAAAAGCTTGATACTGAGATAACAGCATATGAATTCTACCTCATAATACAACAGTACTTCTGTTCAGCAGCTAAGAAGAGATTGTTGTTCATGTATTGAACAGCTGAATGACCAAGTGTCAAGGGACTCATTCAGCTTAGGCAGGATACTGAACTGTTATCCACTATAGCAAGCCATAAGGTGCAGATATTCAGTCAATTGATATTTGGATCACGTACTGTAGAGTATCTCACCATTCTTGTTTGTTTATTCTAAAAGCTGATGGCAAATTCTCTGTCTTCTATAATAATAATCTGGTTCCAGATTGCACTGACCCAATGGACAGTATTCCATGTGCTTAAAAGCCAGCATTTTCAGGTTTTGTCTGCTTTGGTTAAAAAGTCCTGAAAAAGGTGCAGGAAGTCAAAGAGGCATAATTGTTCTTCATTGGCAGTTTTGTTCTAACACAGCTCAAATGTGAACCTAACTCTTTCACATAAAACATGTCATGGCTTCTTTTTGTGCATGTTTATATCATACAGACATCCTGTTTATCATGGGCTATCACATTTCACCAAGCATTCCTGGTACTAAACCTAAAACTTTTCCTCAAAGGTTTGACCCTCTCTATGGGCAGTTCAGTTAGACTGGAATTTGCATTAATTATCATATATTCATTTTCTTTCTAGTGATTCTATGTTCTTCCAAGAAATGGGACATTTTCATCCGATTCTATACAGATACCTATTACACTTTTACAAAGTTTGCAGGTCTTAAAAATCTCACATTCTTCCAATACTTTGCACACCTTCCATGCTAACATCTGTTACAAAAGCTTTGATTGATTGTTTTTTTATAGCTACCTTTTAGGTATACCTCTCAGAAGCAGTCCTTTCATAAGGAAAAAGATCCTTAGGCTATACATAAGGCTACTGCTCCAGAAAAATGGGCGAGTATCTAAAGAAGAAAATTCTAAAATACTGATCTTAAAATACCATGATACATTCTTTGCCTAGTGAACTGTGAGGTCTTGAAATTTATATCGTATTTATACATGTGTGCACTTAAATGATATATGTATATATGTGTATATATAAGGATAATCAAATTGTATTTTCCTCCCTCTTAATTTAACCCATTTACATAGTGGCTTACAGCCCATTAGTCTGGGTTACAAAATCTAATGCAGCAAGACCACTTTACAAGTATCACCCAAATAGAAGACTCCCACCTGTTTATTACTGTTGAACTGCTACAATGCTTTATGTTTACCTTGTTTATTGTAGGGAAGCTGCAGCTTTGTTTACCAGATACTCTTGCTTTTGAAAGTAGAATTTCCTTGTGTCATGAATTTTCACATTTTTGGGGTTCTGTGACCATCGGTCACATTTATTATGAAAAAGACAGCAATTTAACCTCTCTTCCGTAGAGAGTGAAAACACTTTTTAATTTAAAGGTTTTCAGCAGCTTAATGTCAGCATCTCTTCAAGTTGTGTCCTTGCAGCTGAAGAAAGTAGGGAGGAGTTTGGGAGTCATTCTCTGTGCTTTAATCCTCCTCTGTCTGTAGTACAGGAAAATTATGTTATGGAAAACTTGACATCTGAAAGAGGACTACTCTCTAGTTAGGCAACAAAATGAAAAACTGCTCTGGGAACGACAAATAAAAATACTGATTTTTCCGTAAAGTAAAATGCTTTAGGTATCTGCCTAAAACAGTATTACATTCTGTAAGTAGTTGGATGGTCTAGCAATAAAAGCTGCCAGTTAAGGCACTGACTCTACATACAGTGAAATAAGGAGTTCTAGCCTTGGATGATATGTAAAAGTTTTTAGTTTTTGTTGTCATTAATAATGATTTTGCTGTGCAAGCCAGTGCTTATTTGCAAAAATTTTATATGTAGGGGCAAAAATAAAAGGGGCATGTATTTTATGAAGATGATGGCCTACAAATACACATATACCCACATGAAACATAGACAATTGCAAAAGTACAAGTGCCATAATAAAATTTGAGCATATATAAGAATTGTGCAACAAGTTGGAGAACTGTAACTGGATTTGTGAAGCTGTTCTCTTACAGAAATGCAATTCTGCCATTTGTGCTAGTTGTTTAACTGCCCCTTCTGAAAGAAGTTTCCTTTCTTTGGATATACAATGTCATCAATTGTTGCCCATAATCATGTGCTTAAAATGCAGCATTTGGAAATCTAATCTTGACTAATTCACATGCTTTTTAAATTCCTAGTTAAGTTGTTAAAAACTATCACACTATGGAAAACCCAAAAAATGAATTTGGATAATTAAATGAGTTCTGGAACATGAAGCAAATACAAATAGAAAATACAGAAAAAACGTTTTGCTGATTTGCAGTTAGACCTACCTAATATACAAATTTTAAGGGCTAATTAATTACTTTAATAAAAGCAAATTAGTAATTCTACTTTATTACTAAAAATGTTTTTTGTTGTTTTATGGTATTATTTCTAGGAAATATGCACTTATCATCAATAATTTGGGAGTATTTTTGTCTTATCATTGCTTAGTAGTTTAAACACACCTGTAGAAGTTATTAATGATAAATCGTCTGTCTACCAAACTGAATTTTGGGTATCGAAACTACTTTCAGAAATCTGATAATACTCATGGTCAGTTGCATCCTTAATTATTGGGGGCTTCCACGCACTTTGTGTCTTCTCTGGTTTAAGAAATGTGGACCTAAACTTACTGTGACTGATGATTCCTGAAAATAGTCTCAAAGGGCTCTATTCAACTGATAATGCAGACTGTCTTCTAGGCCATGCAAGCCTTGGAGGGCTGTATATGCTGATTGCACAGCAGGCTTACTCTTCAAGGATAAAGGTGAACCTGCTGTGCAATGTCAAAAGAAAGCAGCTCAGACTGTTGAATTGTACAGGATGACTAAATAGTGAAAAAATTATTCTTACATCATTATAGTACAACTCTCTGTGATCTCCTTCACTTCTGTACCGTCAATGTTGAGAGATTATTCCATAAAATTCTTGACTTGGGGGAAAAAAAATCTTTGTAAATTTTTTAGCTCAATATGTGGGATTGGATGTTTTTTCCAAACACTTGATTCAAACAGAATGATCCAAAGGGACTCAATGTGCAGTGGAACTTAGTGAACTTCAGGAACTGAGGGTATCTTTCCCTTACTGAAAAATCTCCTTCTCATTTTTCATAGCTCTTTAGCCAGTAGTCAGTGGTTTCATATCAGTGACATGTTACGTTCAAGCTCAGAGAAGAAAGGGATAATGCCAACACAAAGTGGCATTGAAAGTTCATTCCAGCAATTCATTGTTTCTCTGCAGTCAAGAAGTCTGTCTCTTCAGAGAGGAGTTTTCTTGTGAATTCTGCAACTTCTAAACTAGCAAATCAAAGTAAAGAAAACTTGAATGTTTTTTAAGAACTGCTTTTAGAGATCCCATCTAATGGAAAGAACTCTACAGTCAGAAAAAGTCTCCACACCTCCCTCTGACTTTCACATTATGCATCACAGTGGCTCGTGTTACTTTTTGTCATTCTCTGAATATAGAAGGCACAGCACACAGAAATTTCTCCATTGTGTGACATGCTGAAAACAAGCAGAATTCTTTTGCCTTCTGATTGTCAAAGCAGACTGTGAGTTAGGGGGAAAGGAGAGGAAGAGTTTGGTGTTGCTAGTCTTTTTTCATTTCTTGCTGCTATTCATTAGTGAGGATTAATGATGACAGTATTCAGAAAAAAATTTCTTTCTGGCTAGTCTATTATTCTTCTATTCTTCTATTAATGTTTTTAATTATAGGATATATCACATGGCATTTCATCAATCTATTTCAACAAAGTTTGCTCTACTAGCCATTCCCTTTTATATTTTGTGTTATGTATATAGTTCAATATAAAATATTCTTATTTATTTGAACTGATCTTTCTTCTTTTTATAAAAGTTCTGATACCTGCCTGACTTGGTAGAAGAACTGGGAATAACAGATTACCTGTTTTAACATTTAGTCTTGGCTTTTATTTCCTTTTTTTTGGCAGCCTGAACTGGTTGAGAAACTTGAAGTAAATGAGTTCCTACTTTGCTTTCAGTCTTCACTGTAGTTTGATGGGTACTTTGTAGCATCTTTCTCTGAATAACAGCTCCTTGACTTATTATTTCTTACAATTAATGCAATAAAAACACTAAGTAATAGTTACTAGAGTGAAATAGAAACACTGTCATGATGGTTTCAAAACAACAGTAGTTGGAGATGAATACTTTTCAACAATAAAATTTACTAACAAACTGAATGCTACTGCAAAATTTAGCCTAACATGCTAACCAAGGGAAAATGGCAGACCACAGGTATCCTATCTAGAAATCATCTAATACTAATGACTTTTGAAAAATTGTTTTTGCACTCTTGGAAGACAAAGACATGTCTTCATATCTATAGTTAAGAATGAATATATATAAGAATATATAAGAATGAACCTGAAATACACTTATTCAGTTCTTTTTATCTCAGTGGCATTTGGTGCTAATTAAATTAGATGGAGGATGAGCAAATTCTGAGAATTCAAGGTGTGTGTGAGGAGCATCTTTGCTTATATTGAGCCCCCACCCCTTATATGCATCAGTTGCTGTATGGTGTGTCTACTCCTCCATCAGGAAAGGAAATAAGGGCAGGAATTAAGATGTGGGATGTACTGAAGATTATGAAGGCTAGAAGAGTGTTTCAGTGAAAAGGAAGTCTACGTTATTTCTGATGGTTCACTAAGCCCCCCTTTAGATTCAGAGAAGGCCTTAGATGCTTTAATTTTCTGCAAAGAGATTTGTTGTTCTGAAGAGAGTCTCAGAAGAGACTTGTGACCTCCGGAATTTGGAATCAAACATGAAATTCCTAAATACATGTGTTCTATCAAGTATCAGCTAATCACTAGGAAGGATAACAGCTTATTAGTGGTCCCAGCTGTTGCTATCTTGACAGTGTAAATGGCTCCTGAGTGGTCAGCTTTATTGTTATGTGACAGATTTTTCCCTTTCTTAGGCTGTTTGGTTTGTTTTAAAATTTTTAAAAAATCATTTATTTTAATGTTAAAATAACATTTATTTTACATAACCAAGCCTTAAAATTAGAAAAAAGTAGGCTTAAACTTGTCTCTTGAGTTTTCTTTTTTGTGTGCACATTGTGATAGGGTCTTTATTAAGCAGCTAACTGTTACGTTACCTCCAAGGCTTTAGTTTAGGTTATCTTGCAGAAAATCAGTTAGAAAAGCTTTTTTTCTTTTTTCTTTTTTTTTTTTTTTTTAAATATTCTTCTGTCTACAAGTAACAGAAATATAAACCCTGAAAGAACAGAATTTCAGTACCAAGTGAAAACCTCTGAAAAGTTCTTAACTTTACATATTTAGTCTTTAGAGGTTAAAGCAACCATAATAGGTATGGAAAGAAAAAAACCAAAATATTACATAAATAGTGTGAAGTTCCCTCTTCCATTCCCAATAAATAATAAAGCAGTAGTTACTCAATATAGCACTGGTCAGGGGGTCATTCTGTGTCTCAGAATATCGTTATTCAAGGAAATATTTCACATGTGCTGAACCAGTCCATTCTCTAAAAATGAAAGCAGGTTTTTAAAATTGTGAGAGTTATGTATCTCAATAGACTCATTGGATATGGATTGATAGACATAATGTCTAGGTGGTCTAAACATTCATGATAAGCTCTATCATATAGCTGCTTTTTGTTTTTAAGGGTATCATTAGTTGTGAGAAGACATTATTTTATGTATTATAAAATTAAAACCTGTAAGTAAATACTAAAAAACAGTATAGCACTGATTACTTCATTGATTTTTTTTTCTTTCTAATAAAAATTTTAAGTGGTGTGATGTTTAAGCAACAAAATGTTCAGATGGCATTTAATAATCTCCAAGATAAGTAGCAGTATATGAGAAAAGGTTAAAGCAGTAAGAAAAAACATATGGAGAATTTCTGCCCAAGGGTAGAAAGAAATAAAAAAAAGCAATGCCCCGACTTCTGGAGTCAGTTTAAAGAAAGCAGTTCAAGAGGTTCTTATCTAGGGTTTCTAGAAATTCTAGTGAGATATTATACTGAGTGAGAACTGCCTGTCTTGATAGTTGAAAAAACTAAAATAACTTGTTCCAAGTATCTTGAACTGGAAAATCTAAAAGTGAATTTTTCCTATATAGGCTGTGATATATATGGTAATGCCATATGTATTCATAGCTAAGGTGAAAACAAAAACCTCAAGCAACTCAACATAAGTTGTATCTTTTAGTTTGCAAGAAGTGCTGTTAGATGTTTTGGTTGATTCAGGGCCAGATTTAAGCAGGAAAACAAACTCAACTCTGAAAAGGGGAAGTTAGTTCATAGTTCCTTCTACTTAAGGAGAAATGCAGATGTATATGTCAGTACAAAAAGTTAGAGGTGCACAGCTAGCAGTGCAGTTTGGAGGTCAGAATTACAAGTCATCCTCATTACCTCATTTTTAAGATGGACAGGTATGAGCCATTACACCTTATGCGGAAGAGAATGATGCAGTAATAAATGGAAAGACCAGTGAAATGGAAAATCCCAGTCTGAGGTCTATGAAAAGGTCCAATAAAATGTCCTGCAATAAAAGTGCAGGATTTGTGAGGGTGAGTAAAAGCTAGTAAGCAAGAACAAGAGAAAGGAAAAACTTTTTGCCCAGAGAAGAAGGCTGGAATTAGCTTGTCAGGAAGGGGATAGAGAGCAACATCTTTATTCAACCAAGAAATCCCTCTCTCCTGGAGACTGGACGGGACTGTTAATCCATAAAGGAGATTAAACAATCTCTTGTCAAGAGGCAATCTGACCCTAAAGTAGGTGAGAAATTTGGTGAGAAACTAGGGACCCTTCTTGTTGACATCATGAAGGGAAATGGAGTTGAAGAATCTTCATAAGAGACTAGAGATTTCAGCACAGATACAGACAGAGAAAGAAATGTTGTGGGGTGACTCTTGCAGTGCACTGAGGGATAGAAATCCTCTATTCAAGATCAGGACTGAAAAGAATGTGAACCTGAAGCATCTGTGTGTCTGGTTCTTGCAGGAACACATATCATGTGCGATTGGGCTGGAAAGCCGAGTTACTGATTTGCAGACCTTCCAGAGACTGTGCACAGGAGAGAGGACTGCCAAGTGACAACACTGTGACACATAAACGTAACAAATGTCACAGCTAAATACAAGGTGTGACTTTTGATTTACTAAGAGGAATGCTACTGAATGGGGTGAAATGTACGTGTATAATGAAGAAGGGACACCTTCTAGGCCTATTTTATCACTGCACTGTTTGTAACTACTTTCACAGCATCTCATTACCTCCTGTTCTACAGAGACTGTACAGTCCCCAAACTATCATATTGCCATTTGGTTCAGTGCCGATATGTGCTGTATTAAACACACAGATAAGAATTCTTTGACATAACAATTTGTAATGAGTGCTGGATCACGTTCAGAATGATTATGTTGTGCCTTGTTTCCCTAACCTTGAAACAAGCCTGCTTGTGCTTATTTTCTGCTGCTAATGTGATTATTGTACTTTCAATTAAAGTAACTGTAAAAATGATTACCGTGGTTTTTGAAGATTGAGAAAGACATTTTAAATGACCAAAACTCTCTTGAAATATTCAAATTTGTCCTCGTTAGTATTTGCTATTAGACACATAATAATATATTTGTGAAGTGCAGATGTATAAATCTTTGAGTCTTCTGCATATACAGACTTGTACTTAATATTAAGCAAAGCTTAAATATTAAATATTAAGCAAAATATATATATTAAACAAAGCTTTAACAAATATCTAATACTTTGACTTTTTTTTTGCTTTGAAATAGTAGCAATATCATAACTTCCTAACTCTATTAATTAACATTAGTCTTCTCCTAAAGAAACTCATACCTCCCAGTAGTTTTTCCAGATATTTTATGAATTTATTTGTCTGCTGCATGATACTGGAAAACAAGATGGAAATTGATTAATATTTCTTTATCATTGCACCTTTAAATTGCACCAAATTCAGCAATGTTTCTTCTAAAACTGAATGAGAATTTCTCCTCTATATAAAAGGATATACAGAAATTCCTTTAATGGAACAACAATAGTGTCTCCTTATCACAATTCAGGAAGTTTTAAAGAGGAGGAATCTGCTTAAAAAAATATTTAATTTAAATTTTATAGATATTAAAATAAGCCTTATATCAGTTATCATTAAAAAAACCCACCTTTAGTCTGCAAATGTTTGATCAGAATGTTTTTACCTTAACTTAAATATTTTTCATTTTGAAACAAATCAACATGTTCCTATGAGAACTTTCTCTTTCATAGAAAAGCATTTTCCATCGGGAGAAGGATATATCAGAAAATCCATGTCTGGTTCTGACAGCTGGTCCTGATATGTTGTTTCATCAGGTATTCAGAGTATTACTAATGAAATAATCTACAAAATGGCATATTTCAGAAGGGATTGTTATAGAAATATGATAATATACTGCTGAAAGCTGAATTAAGAAATAGGGGAAAAAAGATTTAGATCCATGGAGCTGTTTATCATCACTGTATTAGGTAAAATCCACTAGGTCTCTTTTATAATTCACTATTAATCTTTTAGATTATATTTTCTTCTAGTCATTCTTTTCAGTCTTGCTGCACTAATACCTTCAGAACAGTTTCCATCTCTTACTTCCAAAAAATACTGTTAATCAATATTAATTTTACTGAAGAGCTTTGTTACAGCATGTCCACATAAACAGAAGAATTGCATTTAAAGATATATGACAACAGAGGGTTTTTTTTAAAAGCTAGAGAGCCATTTCTCCCTTTAGGCTATTCCATGTTAGTGTATGGTAAAGATAACAAATAGTCTGGCTATAAAATTGTCTTTAATTAGTTGACTCAGTGGCTTCCAACAGTGTGTTACAGTGGTCTGTGGGACTTCCATGTTACAGGATAGACTTTTGAATCTTACTCCATGCTGCTGGGTAGTCTCAGTATATCAACTTATATGCTGTCCTGTGGGAAGTGCGGGTAGAATTACCCAAATAACCATCCCACTGATTTTATTGGCTCACAGGGAAGTCACATACCTTGCCTTCTGAGGAATATGCATAGCTAGAGGTTGGGTGCCATGACAGTAATAACACTGAGTGAAACTCAAGGGGACATAAAAGTAGGAGGTTAATAGAAATTTTAAGGGATAGTTTTATGTTTCTTCATTCAAAACAAGTCATATACATAATAATTAAAAGCAAATTAACCCTTGCTGTATTTTCAACAGCATGAATGAGAACTATTGGAACGGTCTAAATTTTTTTTTAATTAAAACAATTATTAATTATTCTTTTTACGAACACAAAATCTCTTCCTAAGATTTCAAACCAATTTGGATTATAATGTTTTCACTAATAATATTTCAATAATACTTCATTTTTTGCTAAGGGTGCTGTTCTAATTTCAAAGAAGCTCTTTTCTACATAGGTGTGGGAATTCAAAGTTTCCCAGAATTTGTTTTAATGTAATCCAAAATCTAGTACAAGTCTAGAAACATGCATATTGAAAAATGGTAATTGATGCTTGAAATTGCAATTGCATGATGTGTGTAGGCTTGGAAGCTGACGAATTAAGTGCAAAGTTTCAGACATGAGACATTTCCTTAAGATACAGTCCTGGAATTCTTTTCATGTTTTTCCTTATGTGTTCTTTTCCCTCATAATGAAACAAATTTCAAACCATTGTAATAGGCATTATGTGGTATTTGTTTTAGAATGTCTTAAGTGTATGTGTTACTTTATTTTCTTAGGACGAAGTAAGTATTTGTACTTATATGGTCAAAAATTCATAAAATTACATTTTTAATTTTCAGTTGAATTAACTGAAAACCAATACACAACATTAAGTATGCAAACTCCTATCAGTTCAAAAATGTTGGACTGTTTTTTTTGTCCTGCAATCTAGATATCTATGATGATAAAATACTGTTTTTGAGCAATCCACGTGTCATGCCACTCTCCAATGCAGTGAAAGAAAACACTGAAGTTCTTAGACTTAAGTAGTGTTCTTTTTTGTTTTTACTGGTGCCTTAGAACTACTGCAGTGGTAGTTAAGGCTCCATCTGGTTTGAGGGAAAGATACTGGTCTTCTGAATATCCTCTTTCTACTGGCCAATTACATATGAGAATTCTGCCTCATGTCCATGAAGGAGGATTAGCATGCACTCTTTTGGAACATGATTAGTCTTTCTCTCTTTGCTTAGCTAATTCTAAGGACATTCAGGTGACTAGTTTGTGCTGATAGAATGTGTCAATGCAAGGAGGTCATGAGATAGCCTTTAATATTAACAAGAATGTAGTAATGTATGGCAAATATAAAATTCTCTTTGTTGTGTGAAATTTGATGTACACCCTTCATGAGGTATAAGTGTAATGCAGTATTGAGAAGATAACATTTGCTACTTAACATGATGGAACCAGGATGTGAGGCTTCCTTGCCAACTTCTTGTTTCTTATTGTAGCTCCAAAGTTAAAATAATGAATTTTCTAATCCTGATTTAGAGTTTAAGAATAAAGTGTAACTAGAGTAACTTTAGCTCCTTCCAAAGCCAATGTGTGCCAGTTCTGCTGCAGGTTTGTGCACACCTGAAATGTTTAAGTAATACTGAATTCCTTGAGGAAGTCAATTGCACAAAGTGGTTACCATCTTTACTACATCCTCATAATTTAATTTGTGTTTCTTGAACATATGCACAATGCTCTCTGTCACTGCAGTACTTTGTATTTTCAGGGGGCTTTTTTTTCCTTTCTTTTTGTCTGTTTCATTCTAGATTAAGCTTTTAAAATGAGTATCAATGTGGAGTTAAATATGAGAATATTATCTTTAAAAATCATGGCATTATGAATTATTAATATTTCTGCTCTTGCTGTTGCTTGGATTCATTGTGGGGTTTGTAATAATGTCATGTATACCCTTTCAGGCCATTTTAT